GACCACTCACCACATCCCTGCCCCTACCCTGTTGTGTCCCATCATTCACACTACAAGCTTTATGTTGATGAATGCCCTGCATAGCCACCAAGGGCAGACTGCAGGTGGAGGGCTCAGGGTCCAGGACAGCTTCCCCCATCCCTGAGACAACCCAGGACCACACCCCAGGGGCTTGAGGGTCCCACGATCATGAAGAGCATCCTGTACCCCCCACCTTGTTCCACCCCTCCCTTCCATCCACCTGGGGCTATTTCCTCTAGGAATCCTCCACCCCCCCCACATTGGGGCCCTAAGCCAGAACGGCTGCCAGGGGAAACAGAGGTACCATCAGAGGTACACTCCATGTCCCAAGGTCTGCGAGCTCCCTGCCCTGACTCCTCAGCCCCACAGATGACCCCTGACTCTGGAGGAACATGGGGAAAGAGCATGCTTTTGGGCATGAGTCGGGTCCAAGTTCCCTAGTTACCAGCTGGCTGGCCGGCTGGCCGAGTGGCTGTGATGTTCCCCGTGAGGTTTAGTGATAATGCAGCTGGGGCATAGATGCTGTTCAGTAAGCAGGGATGGTGAGCGGTGAGCAGAGACTGCCAAAGGCAAGCGAGCAAGCTGTGTGTTGTGCAGGACCCCCTCACAGCATACAGATATCCCGGACACTGCCAGGACACACGCCCTGGCTGAAGGAGACAGCCTGATCTCTGGACTCAAGGCTGTTGCCACAGCAGAGTTCTCTGATTGGCCAAGTGTGTGATTGACAGTTCTGGCTGGCGTTAACCTGCCCACCCCGCCTCATTGCTTCTGTTTCTTCTCTGCTGGCCCCTGAGCAAGGCTCGCAGTCCTGCTGGTCAGGATGCTGGCGAGGACCGGGCTGGCTTTGCCTGGCCAGGGCTTGAGTGACATCTCAGGGGCAGGGCCTGGCAGCCAACGCAGCCCCATTCTTGTCTTCTCGGTCTTCTGCAGGTGAACATGGTGGTCCTTGGCAAATACCTGGGCATCCCCAAGCCCTATGGACCCCTCATCCATGGCCGCTGCTGCCTGGAGGAGAGGGTGCGTGCACTGCTGGAGCCCCTCGGCCTGCACTGCGTCTTCATCGATGACTACCTGTCTTACCACAAGCTGCTGGGCGAAATCCACTGTGGCACCAATGTGCGCAGGAGACCCTTCGACTTTAAATGGTGGCACATGGTGCCCTGAGCACGCGCCTGCCCAGCCCGCCGTCCTGCTGGCGGGGAGCCTCAGAGCCTGCTGGCTGGCTGGCCGGCCATGGGGCACCCTGGACTCCAGGCAAGGGGGACATCCCCCTTCCTCATCCCCAGAGTGACCGGCCCACACCAGCAAGGATGGACCTCATGCTCCCCTCTCCTCCTCTCCCAGCCCCCCGAGATCCAAGATCAAGACCTGGACATGCACAAGCATGGGTGTGGGGCTCCGCAGGCAGACCCCACTCTGAATTGCTCCCCCTCAATTCAAACACCTCCCAGGATGGAGGGAAATGGCCAGAGGACCTGTGCTTTGGGGTGACGCCTCCCCCACTCCAGGTGGCCTCTGGCTTCTATGAGACAAAATGGGAGATTTGAGGTATCTTCTCTCTAAAGTGGACCCCAGGCTGGGACCTTCTCCCCATATCCCCAGCTCCCTTCAGCTTAGGTAGGCAAACAAGGGTATGAAACAGCCACACTGAGGACTTGTTTTGTAAAGGAAAAGAAACAGCCTAGTAGGAAATCCCTTTAATCTCTGACTCCATCTTCAAAAGTGCTCATTACCCATGAGTTGAGCCTCTAATTACTAGCTAGCTGCTTCTGGCTAGAAAACACAGAGAGGCAGAGAGGGCCAGGAGGCTGCTCAGAGGAGGAGGACAGGGCAGGAGGGATGGCCAGGGAGGAGGCTGAGGACAGGGACTGTGGACCAGGGCCTCATGCATCTGGACACAGGTGCCCCCTGACTGTGGACTTTGGACTTGGAAGGCAGCCGGCTTTCCAGATGTGGTTGGGTGGGGGCCAAGATGTTAGCCACAGAAGGCGGGAGACAATTAGGTTTATCTCTGAAGGCGGGGTGTAATTTCCTCTAATGGTCTTTAATTATTCCCCCTCCCCCTGCAGGCAGGGAAGGGGGGGACCTCTATGGCAGGCCCACGCCCCCTCCCAGGGGAGGGCCCAGGGCTGGCCGGAGCAGCTGGGCCCTGGGTGAAGTCAGAGGCCCGTGCTGGCAGGAAGGCTGGCTGGGCTGCAGGACCAAGGCAGGTGCTAAACATTGGAGAGACCCAGATGGAAAAAGCCTTTTGTCAACAAGGGCTTCCATGCATCTGCAAGGTCCTGCAGGAATTGGCTACTCCCCTTCTAGAAGGTTCTGTGAGCTCCCTTTTGCCAGCTCCTACTCAAACCAGGACGCCCTCCTCGATGAGCCCATACTCATCAGGAGAGTCTGAGCCATGAAGGAGAAGGACGCTCATGGGAGGGGGGAGGGATGGGGGAGGGGGAGGGGGCAAGACCATGGTTGAGGGGAGTGAACTGAGCTGCTCAAAATGGGGGGGGGGTTCTGGAGTGGCTACCAGGGCCATGGAGAGGCCCTGGGGGACCAGTCAATCCCTGTCTGATCAATAAAAACATCAACATGCATTGCTTTCAGTGCTGTCTCCTTGGCCTCTGCCGGCTGGGCTGGGAAAGGGAAGAGGGGAAGTGAGGGAGGGGCAGGGAAGGGGGGGAGGGAAAGTGAGGGACTGGGAAGGAGGGGAGAATGAGGGATGGGATAGCTGGGGAGCACGGGCAGCAACAGCTGATTCAGGAGGAAGGATGGCACATACCACGCGGCCTGGGGCCTCACTGCTGAGATGGTATCAGGAAGGAGAGGCCCCACTTCTTCCTCTCCGGCCCTTGAGTATCTCTTCCATCTGTCTGCGGTTTGGGTGAGAGGGGGAAGAGCCTGGGCCCATGGGCAGCTGCGGGGCTGTCAATCCCACCTAGCAGCCTTGGCTCCTAAACCGGAAGATGTCACCCTGAATCTCTGGCACTTGCTGCCACCTGAAATGCCTCCATTACCCCCCCTCCCACACGCACACTTATTTTAACTTTTGTTGTGGACTAGGAAGCAAAAAGTTGATTAGTCCAAATGAACTTGTGTGTGTGTGTGTGTGTGTGTGTGTGGTTGCAACTCAGGGCCTCACATTCACTTGATTGGATTGCTCCACTGGTGTTCTACCTCTTGAACCACACCTCCAGCCTGACATTTTTCACTGGTTACTTTGGAGAGGGAGTCTGGCACACTTTCCTGCCCAGGCTGTCCTTGAACTGCCCACCTCTAGATCTCAGTCTCCTCAGTGGCCAGGACCACTGGCACCCAGTTTCCCCCTCTGACAGCTGACTGTTGGCCAGGGAAGCAGTGTAGGCCTGGGCTACTTCCCGAGGGAGGGACGGGACCGCCGAGGACCACTTTCCCGGGATGGCTCCTTCTCCAGTGTTGCTTGGAGGCAAGTGAGGAGGGCTGTGTGGGGCTTCTGCCTGACCTCAGCCCTCCCCAGAGCTAACTGGGCCACCGAGGCCATGTTACACTGGAAACAGGGAGTCCTGGACCCAGATGTTTCCCATACGTGGGCTTTACCAACCAGCTGGGAGCCTTGGGCAGCACTAGCGAGTCAGCTGAGGTCCAGTCCCCGCCCTTCCTGGCGGTCAGCAGCATGGAAAAGGGAGAAGACTTTGATTCAGCACCTTCTGAGCCCCTGCCGGGCAGGGCAGGGCGCAGGCCTGCCATTATCTCTGCTGGTGCTGGTGACTAGTCACATTTTCTACGGATGAGGAAACTGAGGCCGGAAGAGGGGAGCTACCACCCTCCCAGGGCTGCTTCACTGATGTGAGTGGGAGAAGTTGTTTCCCCTTCTTAGAGCCCTTCCTCTTGTGGTTCCAGGTGGGCCCTGGCCTCGGTTTCCCCACTGGACAAGTGAGCATCTTACTCTGACCTTCTCAGCCCCGGAGGTTTTCTCTCCAGTGACATCAACGGCAGCAAGATGAATCGAGTTCCACATTGGAGTGCCAGCAGTCTTGGCCAGGTCCAAGACAGCTCAGCCAGGCTGGTGAGGCAGGACGAAGCCCCCTCTGCGTGTGTCATCCAGGCTGTAAGGAAAAGGCTGGCGTTGCTCTAGGCTGGTCAGAAGGTTTTAGAGCCTGCAGGCCTAGCTACACAGGAGGCTAGGTCTGTCTGAGGATTGCTGTTTGAAACCAGCCTGGGCAGGAAGGTCTGTGAAACTCTTATTTCCAATTAAACGTAAAAAGCCTGAAGTGGAGGTCTGGCTCAAGCAGTGAAGCATCAGCCTTGAGCAAAAAAGTTAAGCAAATCTGCCGGGCACCAGTGGCTCACACCGGTAATCCTAGTTACTCAGGAGGCTGAGGTCTGGGAAAGCCAGCCCGGGCAGGAAAGTCCGTAAGACTCTTACCTCCAATTAACCACCAGAAAACCAGAAGTGGCTCTAAGTGGTAGAGCGCTAGCCTTGAGTAAAAAGAGCTCAGGACAGTGCCCAGGCCTTGAGTTCAAGCCCCCAACTGATTTTAACAAAAGAAAAAGTGCAAATCCCTGAGTCTGAGCCACAGTACTGGTGCACGCACGTGTGTGGGCAGGCACACACACACACACACACACACACACACACACAGGCTTTGGGGGGGGTGAGGAAGGGTCCACATCACTGCCTCATGTCTCTGCACACCCTCCTCCCTTTTCCCCAACAACCCCTCCTGCCTTGGCCTGCGGGGACTTGCTCCCCTTAGATCTAGGAATTAACTCCCTGCATGCCCTAGGTGAGTGCAGCAGGTTCATATGCAAATATGGGGGCCTTTCCAGCCAATCCTGAAGAGACGATTGGCTCTTGGGCATCTAGGAAGGGGCTGAGCTTCCAGGACTAAAGCCAATGAGCTTGTGCCCAGGGCCGGAGGGGTGGGGCTAGGGACTTTTAAACCACTTTCCAAGGGGGCCCATGGGCAGTGCTGGGTTTGGTGGCCCGAGCCCAGTCCAAGGTCAACATGTCTCTGCAGAGGATGGTGCGTGTGTCCCTGGAGCACCCCACCAGCGCCGTGTGTGTGGCTGGTGTGGAGACCATCGTGGACATTTACGGGTAAGAGCCAGAGGCCCTGGAGGTTTGTGGGTCCTTGGGACCGATGCCCAAGGGCTCTCCCTCCTTGGAGCATGTAGGGGCCAAGGCCTGGCTGCCCATTCCCCTGACTTGGCCTTAAAACAACTGCCAGTTGGGGATACTTGGACCCTTGCTTTTATCCGCTGAATTAGGATGGGGCTGGGGACAGAAAGGCTGGAGGGATGCACAAGAGACTCATGGGGGCTGAGGTGGGTCTTGGGGATTGGAAGCTGCAGATGTCATGGGGCGCTGGGCAGCTTGTTCAGAGATCCTGTAGGCTGGGCTGGGGGTCTGCCTGGTGACTCCGGAACAAGTTCAGGTGCCCACTTGCACCCGCTGCCCCTTAGCGTATGAGCTTGAAACCGCATACGTCATTTTTTAAGAAAGATCCTATCTGCTTGTCTAACATTTCTGGGGATGGGGAGTGAAAGAGGTCACTCTAAAATGTAAAACTCTATAATCTGTTCTGAACACAGCCCTCTGGCTGGGTCTTGCTGTGGTCATCTCAGTCTGATAGATGGGCAAGTTGAGGCACAGAGAAGGTGAGCCATGTATTTGAGTCACACAGTAACCAGTGGCAGAGCTCAGATCCAAAGCCACCCACCGGCTTGCTCAGACCCTCTGCTTCCAGCCAGATGCCAGCTGTGGTCTCAGATCCCTTTCCCCCCTCTCTCCTTCAATTGTTCCTGGGCCTTTATGGTTTAGGAGGTGGGGCCTTTCTCTGTGTGTCTCTCTCTGTAGGCAAAGAGGGTGTGGCTAGGGGCTTAGGAGCCAGGCCCTGGCTTCTAGGATTTGAGGAGTCTGGTCTGGAGCTCAGCTCTGGATGGAGGGTGGGGGGAGTGTGTGACCCCTGTGACCAGAGTCCCCTCTCCTCAGCAGCCTCCTTGGCCTGGACCTCCTAGAGACCAGAACCACCTCCACCCTGCTGTGACCATCCCCAAAGGGTTTTCCAGATGTGTCCGGCTAAGCCCTACCAGGCAAAGCTACCTACTCCTGGAAAACAAATATCCTAGAATAAGAGTTTAGAAATGGAAGTGAACTGATCAGGAAGCCCAGATGCCCCAGATGAGAGGGCAGGAGTGAGTGGCTGGTGATGGGAGGACACCAAATCTAGAATGGGTGGAGCCCAGCCGGGAGCCAGGTGCTGAAGCCTGGCTGAGGGCAGGTGGGCTGGGACAAGAGGGGAGGGATGGGAGGGAGGAGGGAGCCATGCCAGCTGGCCCTGTGTGCCCGTGGGAGTGACTCACCCCCCTGACCAACTCGTGCCCATCGGGCAGATAGGTCTCCAGTCTGACCTGTCCAGGAAGCTGGGCTGGATGGAGGAGGATGGAAGAGGGCTTGGGGCAGCCGGTGGTGGGGCAGGCTGTCGGCCACGGGGAAGGCCGGGAGTAGGACAGCCATGGGCTCCAGCTTCTTCAAGGGGAAGATCCGTGGACCCCAGGGAGCAGCCTCCCCGTCCCCAGGTGGTGGAGACCCGCACCATTCATCACCTGTTTTGTTGGGTCCTTGTGCGAGCTGGACCTAGAGACACACACGAGGGGCCCTGTCCCTCCCGGGGTGCGGTGGGGTCTTGGAAGGCTGGCGATGGCAGGGGTGATGGACAGTCCTGGGTGTGGCCATGGGTGTGGGAGCTCCTCAAGGCGGTGACTTTCCAGCTGCCTGACCTTGGCAAAGCCAACGTCAGCGAGGACTCACACTTTCCCTGGCCAGATTTCCCAACGAGCCAGTGCCGTGTGCTGTCACCCCTCCATGTCATAGGTGAGGAAACTGAGCACAGAGAGGCTGAGTCACTGGCCCACGGCCACTCAGCATGTTGAACACTCCACCATGAATAGACTCCAGGATCACCAAACCCTCCAGGCTCTGGCTGGCTTGGGGACGGGGACCAGCCCATGCCTCCCTGGGAGAAGGAGCAGGGGGCCGAGCCGTCGGGAAGGGTCCTGGAGGAGGTGGACAGCCAGAGCCTTGAAGGGCCAGCCTAGGCCACTCCCAGGGCCATGGACTCCCCTGTCCTCTGCCTCCCCCCCAGAGAGGTGCAGGGTCTGGCCCCCAGGCGGGAGTCTTGGAAGGGTAGAACCCCAGAGGGAGAGAGGAGTACACAAGGGGCTGAGCCTCGTGGAGCCCCTCCCAACCAGGCCTCTTGGTGCTGTCAAGGTGGGGTCTCAGGCTGGGAAAGCTGTCTGTCTGGCTTCTGGCCACCCGGCAGAGTCATGCTCCCAGCTGACTTGGGGCTGGGTCCCCAGGTCCACCAGGATGGGCTGGGGCATGCAGCTGGGCAGATGCCCTGTGGTCATGGCTTGCCCTGTGGTGGACCACCCGTGAGATTTACCACCGGCACTGGCCCCACGGGTGTTCACCTGCCCAAAGTGACCAGCTCAGGGGGATGGGATGAGTTAGGAGCACTGTGGGACAGGACACAGACAAAGGGTCCATCATTACTGGAGAGAGAAAAGCCGAGGCCCAGAGGGGCAGGGACTCACCTAGAAGGGGTCCTGGGGTCCCCGGGGGGAGCTCCCGGCTGGCAGACTTGATCCACGACCCCATGAGCCCACTGAACGTCTGTACCCCATGAGCAAGGGACCCCAGAACTGTCAGGGCTCATCTGCCAGGCTGCAGAGAGAGCTGAGCCCAGATGTCTCTAAGAAGGGACAGCCTTGACCTTGAAGGTGACCTTGAGGGCATTCACCTTGCAATGACCTCAGGGAGCAATTCCTTGGAAAGGCCAGAAGGCAAGGCCTTAGTCCACCATTAAGACCCAGTGGGGGAAGTGGTGCCGTAGCTCAAGTGGTAGAGCACTCGCCTTGAGATGAAGGGCTGAGGGACAGCGCCCAGGCCCAGAGTTCAAGCCCCACGGCCGACCAAAAAAAAAAAAAAAACTTGACTCATATTTTTAGCCGGGCGCTGGTGGCTCACACCTGTAATCCTAGCTACTCAGGAGGCTGAGATCAAGTGGTAGAGCGCTCGCCTTGAGCTGAAGAGCTGAGGGACAGCGCCCAGGCCCAGAGTTCATGCCCCCACGACCGAAAAAAAAAAAAAAAAAAAAAAGGCCCAGTGGGAAGATGGTTATATGTAAGCATTTATTTATTTGGTGGCACTGGGGTTTGGGCTCAGGGACTTTGCTACCATTTGAGTCACATCCTCAGACCTTGTGTTTTTAGTTTTTGGTGGTTTTTGTTTGTTTGTTTGTTTTCCTTTTCGGATAGGATCTTGCGATTAAACCTAGGCTAGCCTTGGACCTCCTCCTACCTCTACCACTCTGGTAGCTGGGAGCAGAGGCATACGCCAGCAGTCCTGGCTCCATTGGATGTGTCATGGTAGGAAGATGGCTGCCGCCGGCCTCTTTTAAGGAGGATCCTTCCTTCCGTTAGCAGCTTTCTTTTAAGGAACCACGCCTGGGATGAGCTGGCGGCCTCCTCTTCTCTCCAGTGGAGGTTTTCTACCTCTGGCTACACAATTTGAGTCATCCAGGGTCTTAAAAAAAAAGTATTGCAGGCTGAGGAAGAGCATTTGTCTGGCATGCATGAGGCTCTGGGTTTAGTGCCCAGTGCCTCAAAAGAAAAAGAAACAGCTCTCGGGTTTCCCTCAGAGAATACGGCTCACTGGGCACTGGTGACTCACACCTGGAGCCTAACTCCTCAGGAGGCTGAGGTCTGAGGATTGAGGTTGGCAGCCAGCTGGGGCAGGAAAGTCCAAGAATGAGACTCTTATCTCCAATTAGTCACCAAGAAGCCAGAAGTGGAGCTGTGGCTCAAATGGTAGTATTAGCCTCCAGTGAAAAGGATAAGGGACAAAGCCCAGGCTCTGAGTTCAAGTCCTAGGACCAGTGTGCACTCATACATAACACACACACACACACAGTGTGTGGCTCACGTCACCTGTCGGGGGTCCCTGGGGTCTGTGTCAGGTTCCTGAGATGCCTGTTCCCAGCCTGGGGCTGGGAACTGCTGGCCCCCGTTGGGAAGGAGAATGACTCAGATGCCCAAAGGCAGCTTCCTGGAGCCAAGAGCCTTGGGTTTTGCTCCTGTCTCTGTGGCTGTGTTGTTCTGAGCAACTCTCTGCTCCTGTCTGGGCCTCCCTGGAGTTGTCCTTATGGTCAGGGGGTGTGGGGTGGAGGGAGACCAGCCTGGCCAGGCTTTCTGAGCAACCCGCCCTTGGCTGTGCGGCCATCAGAAGGGGCTCACTGGCAGCACTGTGGATCTGGCCTGAGGTTGGCCAGCTTAGAGGTGTCCCCATCCTGATTTGGGGAGAACTTTCAGATGCTCGCACTGGAGGGTCTACAGTCCAGGAAACACAGATGCCTCCGTTCCCACAAAGCCTCCCTGCTCCTAGGCTGGCTGGAGAGCCCTTGGGCAGTCCTGTGTGGTCAGTTCCCGCTATGCCAGGAGCACTGTCTGGATTAAAGCCACCCACATGCCATGGTGGGCACTCGGCCCCACTGGCAGCCTGGCCCTCAGGAGGGTGGGTGCCCAGGGGAGGCTCTGGATGCTTCCCTTGTCTCCCAGGAAGTGGGAAGTCTGGATCCTGCTGAACCTGATGCAGGCTTTTCTCCCCGCAGGCTTTGGTCATCACAACACAGGGCTTCTGTGTCAGGCCATGAGAGTAGACTTGGAGTCTGGAGCCCCCTACTTTCTCAGCAGCCTATCTCCTGGGCCTCGGTTTCCTAGCAGTGAAATGAGGCCATGACTGTCTCTCATTCCAAGGGCATTGTGCTCACTCACACCTTCCATTTCCTCCTAATCCCCACCGGGCAGGTGTGGACTCTGAGGCTGGGGGGGGGGGTGAGGGCGCTGCTGTCTAGCCAGTGGCGGGGTGGGATTTGAACCAAGGCTGCCTGGCCTCAGGAACCACAGCCTTCCTACCCTGGCGTAGTTCCATTGTGGGGCCTCTCCTGCTGGGAGCCATCCTTGGCTCCATCTGCGCCTCACCTTGGATGCCTCACCTTGGATGCCTCACCTTGGATGCCTCACCTTGGATCTCTTGGCGTTTGGGACTCAGCCCTTCCCTCAGAGCCCTCTCCTCCAGGAAGCCTCCCCAGCCCTCCCCGCTTGCAGCCGCCTCCTGTGCCCAGCTCCATAATTGACTATAATAGTGTCCTTCCCACCCTGATCAGTGAGCCTCGGGACTGCCCGTGGGGTTGGCTGTCATTATCCCGTGTTACAGGCAAAGAGACTGGGCCGGAGGCCCGGTGACTGAGTCAGTGTCACCTGCTGCGGCGCCACCCACCCCGCCTCCACCTGCTTCCACGGTCTGGTTCTGAGGCCCTCCTTCCCCAGCTCGGCCCTTGGGAAGTCACCCACATTGGAGCCATGTCCTGGCCTGGCAAAGGCTTCTCCTGGCTTCCCTGGGGGCCCCCGGTCTCTCTCAGAGGAGACGGGCTTCAGTGCCCCACACCCAGGGCATGGTGCCTGGAAATGAAGGGGCTTCCACACCAGACACCCTCTCATGGACACCGGGACAAGGCCAGGGGTCCCCTCAAGAGCTTACTAGCTTCCTCAGTCACTTCAGCCACCCTGGGAGAGGGAGGCTGAGGCCTCTGTCCTCCATGTCTTTCTGTCTCGGACTTCCTCTCCATCTCTCTGGGTCTCTCTGTATGTTTTATTGCGGTGCTAAGGATCAAACCTAGGCCCTCATGCGTGCCAGGCAGGCGCTCCCTGCCCCTCCGGGTCATGGCTCCATCTCTGTCTCCGTGTCCCCTGCCCTGCCTCTGGCTCTCTATGTCCCCTGATGTGGGCTGGCCCGCCCTCCCCTGGGCAGCGCAGCCGGAAGCCAGCTGGCCCCAGCCTTGAAGGCCCCATTGGAGGGCCCAGGTGTGGGGCTCAGCGCTGTCAGGCTACGTCTCAGAAGCTCCTCCTCATCCTGAATTCCACAGACGCAATTAAGAATCGCTCTCTGTGGGCACCTGCCCCGGATATCACACGAGCATACATTTATATGAAAACAGTTACATGTCACGGACCCATGCCAGGGCCATGGGCAGTCTGGGCTGTTTTTGTTTTCTGCATCTGGTGACCCTGCTTGGAAGGAGGCACCCGGCTGGCCCCGGATCCCTCCCCACGCTCCCTGTTCTTCCCAGGTCTGTCCCCGAGGGCACAGAGATGTTCGAGGTGTACGGGACCCCGGGCGTGGACATTTACATCTCCCCCAGCCTGGAGAGCAGGCGGGAGCGCGCCCACAACCGGCGGTGGCATTTCAACCAGGGGCTGGAGATCATCGTCCTCATGAACTCCCCGAGCAACGAGCTCAATGACAGTCACGTGAGTGGTCCAGGCCTGGTGGGTAGGAGGAGGTCCCCAGTCTCCCCCCCCACTTCCTGTGGTGGACCCCAGGAGCTAGGCTGCTGGAAGATCCCAGCTCTGAAAGTCACGAGCTGACCCCATACTGTGTGTGCTTGGGCCAGTCCTCGCCTATGTCTCTGAGGACAGGGGTTGATTAGACGATCTCTGTGCTCTGAATGGAGGACAGAGTGGAGACTGAGGGGCAGCCCTGCCCTTTCTAGTACTGTTTCTCCAAGGGGCTTCGCTCTCCCGCTCCACCTCCTCCTGACCCCATTTGTGTGGTATGGGGGGGCGGAACTCCACATCTGTCTCCACATCCCCCCTGCCCTTAGCTGAAGTGGGGAGCCTGAGGTAGGGACCCATTTTTGCAGATGAGAAAACTGAGGTAGCTCAGAGAGGTGAAGGGTCTTGGCCAGACTCACAGAGAGCCCCCAGAGGTGCCGCCTGCCTCCTGCCCAGGCCACTCAGTCCCACAGCTAGCACCCACCTGCTGCTTCTCTTCTCTCCCTCCCTCCCCCACTCTGAAGTCTGGCAGCCCCTGGGGGGCTGAAGGCAGGGCCTCCCACTTGCCAGGCCAGTGCCCCCCCCACGTAAGCCACGCACCCAGCCCTTTGTTGTTGTTGTTGTTTGCTTTAGTAATTTTTCAGATAGAGTCTCATGCTCTTTCCCTGAACCACCCTCCTTGGAGACTATTCTTTTTTTTTTTTTGGGTCCGGTCGTGGGACCTGAACTCTGGGCCTGGGCGCTGTCCCTCAGCTCTTCAGCTCAAGGCTAGCACTCTACCACTTGAGCCACAGTGCCACTTCCGGCTTTTTTCTTTTTGCTTATGTGGTGCTGAGGAATCGAACCCAGGGCTTTGAGCATGCAAGGCAAGCGCTCTACCACTGAGCCACTTTCCCAGCCCCTTGGAGACTATTCTTAAACCCTGCTGAGTCTAAAACTCATCCTTTGGCCAATGATAACATTGAGAACCACCCCCCTGCAAGAGAACTGGGGCCGCATCAATCACACAGGAGCTCCTGGTGGGGCTGGGGAGGAGGCTCCCCAGGGGGTCTCTGGAGGCCATCTGTGGGCGGGGTGCTTGGCTCCAAGCAACTGTGAGCCACGTCTCTGCAGGTACAGATCTCCTACCATGCCAGCCATGAGTCTATGCCCCTGGCCTATGCTGTGCTGTACCTCACCTGTGTTGGTAAGCAGGGCTCGGCTGAGGGGGTGGCGAGGGACAGGGAGGAGATGCCTGAGAAAGATCCTAAACGAGGTCTTTCTTAAAGTAGTAGTTGTGTGTGTGCATACATGCATGCATGCATACATGCTGGTCCTGGGGCTTGAACTCAGGACCTCAGTGCTATCCCCAAGCCTTTCTTGCTCAAGGCTGGCTCTCTACCCCTTGAGCCACAGCTCCACTTCCAGCTCTTTGGTTGTTAATTGCAGAGAAGAGTCTCATAGACTTTCCTTCTTGGGCTGGCTTTGAACTGGGATTCTCAGATCTCAGCCTCCTGAGTACCTGGGATCCCAGCGCCAGGCTCATTCTCAGTTCTCTAAGAAGCAAAGACATTTTGTAGGTGGAGGAAGGTTGATTCTGACCCCCAAATATCCCATTGGTGTTTTAAGATCTCCCCCTGTTTTCAGGAAGCGTGCTGAAGCAAGGTGTGTGTGTGGGGGGGTCTAACTAGCTGCTGGGCCGAGGCTCAGGGTAGCCATGCAGTCAGGAGGTGGCAGAGGCCAATTCCTGTCCAGCCCCCACCTCCACTCCCCACTCACAGGAGATGAGTCAGCTTTATAGAGGTGGAGAATGTACCAAGTGACTGAGCTCAAACCTGGGGTGGGCCGCAGACAGCAAGGGCTCTGGAGGTGCAAAAGAGGGAGCAATCACAGTTGCCTTCCTGGAGGATGCAACCTTTGGCTACAGCCAAAGAGGCTCCCAAGGCCTCTCTCCCCATCCTAGAGATGGGTCCTCCACTTCTGGGTGTGTCTGCTGGGAGGGGGTGTAGCTTGGACTCACCTGCTGCCTCTCCATCCCCTCAAAGACATCGCCCTGGACTGCGACCTCAGCTGCGAGGACCGGCAGGACCGGAACTTCATGGACAAGGTGGGTCTGTCCCCTGGCACCCCGACGGGGCGGGGAGGGGGGAGTGCAGGGTAACCCTGCTGTACGCCAGGGGCAGAGGGAGGGGCCCTCATGACCCTTGTAGCTGAGGGGCCCAGGGCAGGAATCTTTAGCAACAAAATGATCACCAGTTCTTAGCCCTGGAGAGGCCTTGGTTTGTTGCGGGGAAAGTTCCAGATTTCTTATCTAAACAAAGAGCTGGCAAACTTTAATAAATAAATAAATAAAGCCGGATGGTGAGATTGCTGTCTCTGGGGGCCATGCTGTGTGGATTCTCCCATGGGGGAGGGGAAGCAGCCACAGTTAACGTCTACACGGATCACGTGGCTGTGTCTAGTAAAACTTTATGTATAAAAACAGACCCTGGGTGGCAGTTGACCCATGGTTTCTAATGAGCGGGTATCTAGATGCAGCTGGGAAGGACTCTTATCACATATGAAGCTCTCAGAGATCTTTGGAGCCAACTCTGGGGGCAACCAAGAGCGTTTGGGGGCTAAAGGAGAAGGGCAAGGGGGCCTGGGAGGAAGGGGTGCAGAGGGAGGGTGTGGCTGAGAGGGACTGGTTGGGGTCAGAGGGGAGGAGGGAGGGGGAGCAAGGGTGAGATCTGTGGACTTGGGCTGCGGGGAGGAGGCCGGGTGTGGCTGCTGCCATCACAGGCTGCGTCTTCTCTTGGGCAGCGGCAGTGGGTCTGGGGTCCGGAGGGCCATGGCGCCGTCCTGCTGGTGAACTGTGATCGGGACAACATGGATGGCAATGGTCCGGATAACTGGGATGAGCACGTGAACTGCCTGCAAGGTGAGGGGCGGGGGCCACTGTGAGGCCTTGTCCAGGACCCCAGGATTAGAACCCAGAGTTCCAGGCCCCCAACACAACAGCTGGTCAGCTGGCCCCTGACCTTCCCCATGGCCCTGGGGCCAGCGGGCCTCACACGGGGACACACTCCAGCCACAAGGCGCCCACCATTGTTTTCCTCCAGAGCAACACGAGGCTAAGCTTGCTCGAGCACCTGCCATGTAGCAGGGCCTCACCCCTGACCCCCCAAGTTCTTCTTTAATCATTTAAGTGGTTAAGGTGTCATTGCCAGCCGGGTGCTGGTGGCTCTCTCCTGTCATCTTAGCTATTCAGGAGGCTGAGATCTGATTGTATTTTGAAGCTAGCCGGGACAAGACAGTGGATGAGACTCTTATCTTCAGTTAGCCACCAAAATAGCCAGAAGTGGAGGCTCCAATGGCAGAGCACTAGCTTTGAGGGGAAAAAAGGCTCAAAAGCTAGCACTCAGGCCCTGAGTTCAAGCCCCAGGACTGGCACTAAAAACAACAACAACAAGAAGAAGCAAGGGTGCTGAGGGTCAGGGGTCAGGAAACTCCCCTCAGTAACAGAGTCAGTCTGTGGCTGCCCCTGCCAAGCCCGGGTCAGGCCTCCTTCCCTCTGCCTGTACCTCTGGCCTGTGTGCAGGCCCAGGGCCCCGGGCCCTCTCAGCCGCTCCTCCTCTTCCTGCCTCACAGACCTGGAAGACATGTCCATCATGGTCCTGCGGACTCAGGGCCCTGCTGCCCTCTTTGACGACCACAGACTTGTCCTCCATACCTCCAGCTTCGATGCCGAGCGGGCCCGGGTCTTCCACATGTGCGGTGAGCCTGGGGAACCTTGTCCACCTCCCAGCCTCGGCCCGGCTGGGCGGCTCTGAAGGGACTTAGGTCAGGCGCTGGGAGATGCCCTGGGGAGAGAGGGGGTCATAAGTGGGTGTGTGTGCATGCCAGTCCTGGGACTTGAACTCAGGATCTCAAACTCTTTCTTCCTTAGCTTCTTAATCAAGGCCGGTGCTCTACCACTTGAGTCACATACACCTCCACTTCTGGCTTTTTGATGGCTCATTGGAGATAAGAATCTCGGGGATTTTCCTGGATGGGCTATCCTTAGATCTCAGCTTCTAGAGTAACTAGGATTACAGAGCTACCAGTGCCTGGCTACAAATGGAGTCTTTTTGTTGTTGGTGGTGGTGGTCCGGGGGCTTTAACACAGGGCTTGGGCATTGTCTTAAAGCTAGCACTCTACCACTTGAGCCACAGCACTATTTCTGGCTTTTTCTGAGTAATTTATTGGAAGTAAGAGTCTCATAGACTTTACTGCCCTGTCTGGCTTTGAACCACAATCCTCAGATCTCAGCCTTCTGAGTAGCCAGGATTATGGGTGTGAGCCATCAGTGCTTGGCTTATGGAATCTTTTTAACGCAAATCTACATGCACATTTTTTAAATAGAAAACAGACTAGAATTAGCATAGCTGGCTTGGGATCATTTCAGTGTTGACTCTTAGTGAGGGAGCTCTTTCTTACCAGAGAAATCTGGGTCCTGGAATACCTTTTCTTTGTCAAGGCCCAGGGGATGGAAGATGTGGGGGTCTATAATTGTGTGTGTGTGGGGGGGGAGGATGTTCAGCTCACATGTCCCTCATGCTTCTGAGAGGTCAGGGGTCAGGCTTCCCAAAAGTCACAGCTGCCTCTCCCTCCCTCTTCCCCTCTCCCTTCCCAGGACCGGAAGACTCATGTGAGGCCTACAGGTGTGTGCTGGGCCAGGACAAGGTGTCCTACGAGGTCCCGCGCCTCAGTGGAGAGGAGGAACGCTTCTTTGTGGAGGGCCTCTCCTTCCCCGACGCTGGCTTCCCAGGCCTTGTCTCCTTCCATGTCACCCTGCTGGATGACTCCAATGAGGTAGGGGTGGCTGGGCAGAGGTGAGGAAGAACATCGCGGTGTGAGTGGCCCCAGGCTTCCTGATGTCTTTGCTGGGTGAGAGTGAACTCAGGGCTTGGAACTCACGAGGCAGGTGCTTTACCACTGCACCGCGACTCCAACTTCTTTGGCATTTAGTTTTGAGTTAAGAATCTTTGTTCAGGCTGGTCTCAGACCACACCCAACCTCAAATCTCTCTCTCTCCTCTCTCTCTTTAATGCGGCTATTGGGGTTTGAACTCTGGGTCTTATACTCTTGTGCTTTCCTTCTACACTCAAGGCTGGTGCTCTACCACGTGAGCCACAGCTCCACTTATGGATCTGGGGTGGTTAATTGGAGATAAGAGTCTTATGGACTTTCCTACCTGGGCTGGCTTTGAACTGCAATCCTCAGATTTCAGCCTCCTTAGTAACTAGGATTATAGATGTGAAACACTGGTGCCCAGCTCAGGTAGTTTTCTTTTCTTTTCTTTTTTTTCTTTTGGTCAGTTGTGGGGCCTGAACTCTGGGCCTGGGCACTGTCCCTCAGCTCTTCAGCTGAAGGCTAGCTCTCTACCACTTGAGCCACAGCACCACTTCCGGCCTTTTCTGCTTATGTGGTGTTGAGGAATCGAACCCAGAGCCTCATGCATTCGAGGCAAGCACTCTACCACTGAGCCACTTTCCCAGTCCCTCAAGTAGTTTTCTTAGGAACTGCAGAGTAGAACCAGGACTCCCATGGCCACTGGGCTCCAGGTGTGGCTGCCCTCCCCCCTCTCCTGCAGTATTTCTCCGAGTCGCCGATCTTCACGGACACCGTGGTGTTCCGAGTGGCGCCCTGGATCATGACGCCCAGCACCCAGCCGCCCCTGGAGGTGTATGTGTGCAGGTGAGTCTGGGCCAGCAGGGCCCTCACCCTGGTGACTTGTTGCCAGCTCTGAGCCACTGCCTTTGCCTTGTCCACAGTGTGAGGAACAATAGGGGCTTCGTGGAAGCGGTGGCAGAGCTGGCCAGGATGGCTGGCTGCAAGCTGACCATCTGCCCGCAGGCTGAAAACCGCAACGACCGCTGGATCCAGGTAACCATGGTGATGGGCAGCCCCCGCCCTTCGGGCACGTCAACACCGTCCTCAGGAATGCCGGCCTGCCCTCCTTGGGGAGAAATGCCAGGAGGACCCGGGTGCTTTCACAAGATTGCTCTTTCTAATCTGAGACCTACAGCCCTTGTTCCAGAACTTTCTGGAAGCCAGGTACTCTGCTGCTGGCTTTGATACCCCTCAACTATCCAGACAGGGCTGGCACTGGGCTAGATGGTGGCGGTGTGGGGCACCTGTTCCCTGCCCCTCGGCAGCTGAGCCGGAGACAACTCGTCCCCCTGCATCTGGAGATATTTTGGTTCTCACTAAACCTCCTACAGTGCTCATGACCAGCCCACAGAGAAGCTTCTGGTCCAACGTGTCACTAGTGTGGCACTGAGCAGCCTGATACAGTGAATGATGGTTCCCAGATCCCTTAATCAAGGATGTAGCTGGATGCTAAGGGTACTAACCAACCTGCTGCGGAAAGAGAGGCAGCTCCAGGGGGTGTGGCCTCCGGAGGGTGGGGCCTTGGGGTGGGTCTCAGGGTAGAGGCCAATGGAGTAGGACCTCCAGGGGAGGACTTCTAGGGGGAGGAGCCTCTGGGGTAGGGGCCAATGGAGTGGGACTTCCAGGGGGAGGAGCCTCCGGGGTGGACCCCAAGGCCAGGTCCTTGAGGGGCTAGGCCAGCAAGGGGTGTGATCATCTGTGCTGAAGCAGATCCCGCAGACATGTGGATAATGGCTTTCTGCCAGGCCTATGTAGCATCATTTCATCTTGACAACCCCTGTAATTACTCCCATAATTAAGAAACTCACAGGGGAGCTAACACTCAGGCTGCAGAGCTGGTAAGAGCAGTGCTAGTACTCCAGCTGTCCACTACCAGGAGGTTCAAGATGGGGGTCCTGGTGGAGGACCAGTATATGCAAAGGCCCAGAGGCGGAAGGTGGGGGAGGGGGAAAGTGTGGGCTCCCTCTGGTCAGGGCCACGGCAAGAGGTAGGAGACCTTGAATGCCAGGCTAATAGACTTCTGGTCCCTTGGAGATTGGTCTAGTGAGGCTGGGCCAGGCAGGATACTGGGGTGATTCAGCCTGGACCTGGGTTCTGGCTCACTGGCTGTGTACCCCTTGGAGAAAAAGCTATACCTCTCTGTTCCTCACTTCTCTCATGGATTACACAAGGCTGAAAAAGAGCCTCTGCACAAATGTGTCCTGGTGATTAATAGCAGAGCCGAGGGCAGAGTGAGGCAGCCAGCGTGTGTCTCACTGTCCAGGCAGCCAATAGAGGCCCAGCATCCTGGCCTGCGTTTACCAGAGGGCAGGATGCTGCTCTTGGCCTCACCCATCTCCAGGGTCCCTCAGCCTGGCCAGCTAGCAACTACCCCCAAGGGCAAAACAGGCCTGAGCAAGCAAGCTGGCCAGGTGTCCACAACTAGCGTCTCTCTCGTTGTCAGGATGAGATGGAGCTGGGCTACATTCAGGCGCCACATAAGACCTTGCCGGTGGTGTTTGATTCCCCCAGGAACGGGGAGCTGCAGAACTTCCCTTACAAAAGAATCCTGGTGAGTGGGGGGGGTCTCTTCCCCACCATGGGGAGGGGCTGTGCCAGGGCTCAGGGACGGGCACCGGGAGACTCAGGCCTGGCCAGATTCGGAACAGCAGTGACACGTTCATCTCTGAGTTCAAAGAAGTCAGGACTAACTTTGTGTATCCCTTTGTGTATCCTTGTACTCTGATGGGCCTTGTCTGCAGTTCAAGTTCTTGGGCTTTGATTTGTTAAATCTAGCAGCCCTTGAGGGACACCTGGCTGGTACAGCTGTAATGGCAGTGACACCCCCTCCCCCCAGCCTCAGTTTCCTCATTGTGGAGGCTTTGCACATGTTTGTGGAACCTTCATGGAGGCCTGTGAGGTGGCTGGGGGGGAGGGGGAGGAGGGAGGGGTGTCCCCAGTGGGCCAGGGCCGCTGGGAGATAGTAGAACGCAGACAGAGAAGGCAGAGGGGTCGGCGGGACCCCCAGTGGACACAAGGGAGACTTCCTTGGTGCCGCAGGGAATAGGAAGCCCCTCCAGATCCCTACTGGGCCACCTAGGTGCCAGGCGCTGGGCTGGCCCTCCAAGGAGCCTCTGCCTGGGGGAGATGCCAGCTCTCCAGACGTTGAAGGTTGAGTCTCAGAAGCTTCAGGGCTGTGTCTGGTGGGGGTACAGACCCCGCCCCCCTATGTCTTCTGTGACTGGTGTGTTTGTATGTATGTGTGACCAGACAGGGCAGCATTCTGAGGGTCTGAGTGTTTCCCAACTTGGGTACCTAAACACACGTGAAATGTTGCCTAGAGCCAGGCACTGGTGGCTCACGCCTGTAAGCCCAGCTACTCAAGAGGCTGAGATCTGAGGATCGCGATTCAAAACCAGCCTGGGTAGGAACGTTTGTGAGACTCTTATCTCCAGTTAACCACCACCACCCACAAAAAAAGCTGGAAGTAGAGCTATGGTTCAATGGTTGAGAACCAGCTTTGAACAAAAACAGCTCAGGGACAGCACCCAGTCCTTGAGTTCAAGCCCCAGGACTGAGAATATGTATCATTTTGACTAGCTCAACACCCATCTTTGACTTAATATTTTTGCCCAAAGAATGGGAGGCTACTTCGAACCTACATTTTAGGAGCTCAGAGCCCAGCCAGTTCATCCAAACCCTTCCCATCATCCCGTCTCCGCCTGACTCAGTTTCCCCCACCAGGGCTTGGATTTTGGCTACGTGACTCGGGAGCCACGAGACAGGTCTGTGAGCGGCCTTGATTCCTTCGGGAACCTGGAGGTCAGCCCCCCAGTGGTGGCCAACGGGAGAGAGTACCCTCTGGGGAGGATCCTCATCGGGGGTAACCTGCCGGGGTGAGAGGCTCCGGGAGGGGGCGCCGGTTGGGGGTGCTTGGGGAGGAAGGCTGGGGTGGGTCCAGGCTACTCACTTACCCCAAAGTGTGAGCTTGCCCAATAAACAGGGACCCAAGCGATCTGACCTTTCATTGTACAAGTCGGCCCAGATGGCAGTAACATAGATGGACAGACAGACAAACAGACAAACATTACTCTTGTGTGACACAGAACTGCTGTGGAAGAGGAAGGGAATTCTATCATAATGGTTATTGTATTTGTAGAATAGAACAAGACGTGGAGCTAACCAAGTTCAAATCCAGCAAAGCCCCTTTAGGCAGGTTTTGGATCAAGTAATAGATGAATCCAGAGATGTGCTGTGGAGGGTACGGACTGCCCCCAAATGCATGGCACCCGGAGAGGACATCAAGGCAGGCTATGCCTTGGATGCTTTTCAGAAGGCAAAGTAAAAAAGGACGGAGGCTTACAAACAAAATGTGGAAGTTGTGGCTCCTTACAGGATTTGAACTCAGGGCTTTGCACTTGCTAACCTAAGCCATGCTCCTAGCCCTTTTTGCTTTAGCTGTTTTGTTTTTGCAGGTAGGCTCTCATACTTTTCCCCTCGTGCCAGTCTCAGACAGCAATCCTCCTGCTTCTCCCTCCAGTGTAACTAGATTACAGGCACGTGTCACCATACCCAGTTTGTTCTTCTGAGATAACAGAGCGTTGCCCTGGCTGACTTTGAAATGCATTCCTCCCAATCTTTCTCTCTTAAGTAGGCAGGATCGCAGGTGCAGGCCACTGAGACCAGATGCAACACATTTGTAGCCAGATACTGTAGACAGCTCACACGCTTGCCATTCCGTTTCTGCATAGCGTCTTCTTTTTTAGCTAAGTGGCTTTTCCTAACCCCATGGGCCTCAGGTCGAGAGGGCGCAGGGTCACCCAGGTGGTGAGGGACTTCCTCCACGCCCAGAAAGTACAGCCCTTGGTGGAGCTCTTTGTAGACTGGCTGTCCGTGGGCCATGTAGATGAGTTTCTGAGCTTCGTCCCCGCTCCAGATGGCAAGGTAAGCACTGGGTGGCATCCGGGACAGGAGCTGGGGGCGGGGAGGGGGGAGGGGGGAGGGTAGGGCTCAGCTGGGTCTGTCTTCTGCACACAGGGCTTCCGGTTGCTCCTGGCCAGCCCTGGTGCCTGCTTCCGGCTCTTCCAAGAAAAACAGAAGTGGGGCCATGGCCGGGCCCTCCTGTTCGAGGGGATCGTCGGTGGGTGTCAGACCTGGGACCCTCGGTGCAGCTCCCTTGAGTTCCAGGGATGGGCAGGGCGGGTGTGGGGGAGGTGGAGGATCGGCCAGTTTGTGACCTGCGTGTTTGCACCAGGCCTCTGGGGTTAAATGTCTGGGATGGACATCGGAGTACCTTTGTTTTATACGTGATGTTGGATCTGAGTCCGCAGAGAGTGTGGAGCCTCTGCTTCCCATCCTCCTTGCCTCCTTGGGATGAGTTCCAAGGTCCCATTGGGGCATCCTGGCATGGAGGTTTCAGTTCTCCATAGCTTGTCTGCTAGTTGTGGTCTGTGGGAAGGAGAGGAGCCTGGATCCCAAGCCTGCACAGCACAGGGTCTCCTGCAGGGGGCGACAGACTGCTGGTCAGCTGTGGGCAGGCACCCAGAATCCACTGTGGGGGGAAAAAAGAAACAGCTTTGTGTCCGGGTACCTTTTGTGATTTTTTTAAAATTTAATTTTATTTTATTTTTTGTTATACTGAGATTTGAACTCTTAGTTCCTTGCATTTGCTTGGCTTCCTTACTTACTGCTGGTGCTTTACCACTTAAGCCATGCCTCCAGTCTTGCTTCTGGCTGGTTAATTGGAGATAAGAGTCTCACAGACTTTCCTGCCCAGGCTGGCTTTAAGCCAGGATCCCCCAGGTCTCGGCCTCCTGAATAGCTAGGATTACAGGTGTGAACCACTGTGCCTGGCTTTTTGTTTTGGGTTGTTTTGTTTTGTTGGTGCTGGTCCTGTGGCTTGAACTAGGGCCTGGGTGCTATCTCAGCACCCAGGAGCTTTTTTTCCCAAGACTATCACTCTACCAATTAAGCTATAGCTCCACTTCAGGGTTTTGAGTGGTTAACTGGAGATTAGAGTCTCAGGACTTTCTGCCCTGGCTGGATTTGAACTGCGATTCTCAGATCTCAGCCTCTTCAGTAGCTAGGAACCCGTGTGGGCCATGTGCCTGACTTTTACTTTTTCCTGGTTTTTGAACAATGACATGGGAGGATGCCGAGGGGCAGGCTGGCCGGGCCTCAGCCAGCTCTCAAATCTACTCCCCTCCAGCCTATGAGGCTGAGAGTCCCACAGGCCTCTCCCACCGCAGGTCCCACCCGTCTCCAAGCAAAAGGCCACAGCGGGGAGGGAGCCACGGGGAGGAAGCCAGTGCCCTGGACATAATCCCCTCAGCAAGAAAAACCATCACTTCCCAAGTCCTTACCTCTCCACTGTACTGTTCTACCACAATATAGACCCCACAAGGTTGGCTGGGACCCTCATCCAACCTTAGAGATCCTCAAATCCAAGCCAGGTCCCCAGAGCTCATACCTGGCATCCTAAATGCTTGAGAGGCTGAGATCAGAAAGATCACAGTTCCAGGCCAGCCGGGGCAGAAAAGTCATTGTCATATCACGCCAACAGGCAAAGCAGAGCATGGTGGTGTGTGTCTGTCATCCCAGGTACAATGGAAAGTTAAAGAAGGAGGATTACAATCCAAGCATGCAACAAGCAGGAGGCGAATGCAATGCAGGGCTGGAGGTGTTGCTCAGCTACAGGGCGCCTGCCTAGCAACAACAAGCCCCCAAGTTCAAAGCCTAGGACTGCCAAAAGTATCCTCAAATCCACATTTTACTTGCCAATGAGGTGTGTGGGGAAGGCACCTGGCCTCTCCCAGGAAACCAGGTTTCTAGTGAACAAAGCTGGGACAAGCCAGCCAGAGGCAGTTCCCCTGAGCAGGTGGTGCACACGGCTAGCAGGTCACTTACACGAATCAGGCCCGGTCTTTGTGGGTCACAGTCATCATCCACTGACCCCAGGAGAGTCTGGGAAGATTGATCTCTGTCCACCCCCTTCCTACCAGGGCTGAGGCTCCAAGAGGGCAGATGCTGCCCCAGGGGGGAGCTGGGCCTGTGAGGGAACCAAGGGGCTCCCAAGGGGGTAGAAGGATGTGTGTCCCTCTTTCCCCCTGCACTGCTCCAGAGCCCTGGACTCTCAGGGCGCCCATGCTAGCTGTGTGACTGGAGTCGAGTCGTCTGATTGTTCTGAGCTTGGTTTTCCTCATTGGCATGGTAGAGCTGGCGATGCCTACCATGCTGAGGGAGATTTGTGTGAGCTGCCGAACCTCAAGCTTCCGGCCCAGGGCCTGATGGATCACAGCACAGACTGTCCTATGCCAGGGACCCCGCCTCCCCTTCCTTGGCCAGCCCATCTTCACGGGCACCCAGGGGCAGGCATCAGGCTATACCCTAGAGAGCAAGTCAGAGCCTGCCGGAGGTAGAGTCCCAGGACCAGCTAGTTCACTGGGGGCCTCGGGAGGTTGGGTTGGGAGCAGCTGACCCAACTCCTCCATTAGCCAGAAGCTGACTCAGTGAACAGCACCCCAGGGGGCTTGTGAATGACCAATTAAAAGCATCATGACTTCCAGTGAACTCAAATAAAAATCTAAAGGTTATTGCTCAGCCGCCCTGGGACCCTCTCCCCTCCCTCAGATGCTGTGCCCGCCTGGGGCAGGCAGAGAGCGACTGACTCAGCCCAGACCAGCAGCTGTGAACCTGGCCTCTGTCTGGCTGCTTCCTGCAGCAGGGAGCCCTCCTGGAGGCCTGGTTCTTGCCCCACCATGTCTGTCTGTCGGTCTTTTCCACAGGAGAAAGGCGGATCCAGACCATCTCCATCAACCAGATCCTGTCGAATGAGAACCTCATCAGCTTTAACAAGTTTGTGCAGGTAGAGAGGCCGGGGCTGTGAGTGCAGGGTGGACAGGTGTGGGGATCAGAAAGGGTGGCTCGTCTAAAGCTGACAGGTGGGTATAAGGACCCAGGCAGGAGGCCTCCAGGGGCTTTCTTTGCCCTGTGCCACTCACTCGTGACCACCAGAGGGAGATGTGACCTCAAGCGCAGTCTCAGGGCTGGGCAGCCGGTGCTTGCTGGTCCCTGATGGGACACCAAGACCACCAACACTAGGCCAAGAAAAGAAGCAAGGATACCCAAGCCACTGCTGTCCACTTGGGCAGGCTTCCACAGCCAGGGGAGGCGGTGGAGGGTGGGAAGGGGGCAGACCCAGGAAAGATCACACCGGTGGCTCCCACCGGACTTCCTGATGGATGCACGGTGAGAGGACTCGAGGCTGGAGGGTGACAGCCGGCCTTGGGCCCTCCACTGCGGGCTGAGGTGGGGGCAATGACAGGCAGGGAACCCCTCCTCTGGAAGTGGAGCAGGCTGGAGAGATTGTAATTAGGAGTTTATCTTGGGGAGCAGGGTACCGCTTGTCCACAGCGGCAATCCTAGCTACTCAGGAAGCTAGGAGAGGGAGCACTCCGAATCTCCATCTCCAATTAACCAGCCAAATGCTGGACTAGAAGCAGGTAATAGAGTGCCAGCAAAAATAATAATTTATTTTTGGTCCAATCACATGTATACACTTATTAGATATCCAATCAGAGAGGCAAACTTGCTGAACTCAGTCTTATTAAAGGCGGATTGAAATTTGGGACAGATAGAAATCTGGGACATGTCAGTATATAGTGTTTTAAACCATGAGATGGGGAGAAGATTTCCCCTAAGAAGTGAGGGATGTAGAGAAGAGGGTCAAGGATGGGACATTCTGGAACATTCTCACTAGTAGCCCATCTTCTGTGGGTGGGCATTTCTTTTGACCCAGAGGTCCAGAGGTTAGTTTGTGTGGACGGTGGATCTGTAGAAGGGAACCCCTTGCCCCTCCTGGGCCACACGTGAGCCCCCCAACCCCCCCATCACACACTGGCCCAGTCACCCCAAAGCCCCTCTCCCACCTCCAGAGCTGCATTGACTGGAATCGCGAGGTGCTGAAGCGAGAGCTGGGCCTGGCGGACCGCGACATCATCGACATCCCGCAGCTCTTCAAAATGGAGAAGAGGAAGGCCGTGGCCTTCTTCCCAGACCTGGTGAGCCTCCAGTCGGGGGGTCCTGTCAGAGGGAAGAACAGGGGAGTCCATGGAATGGTCAAACAAGGTCACTTGTGGGAAGCCCCGGGTATCAGAGGAGTGAGGGGTGTCAGACCCCCAGATCTCAGCACTGGAGACATCCTACCACAGACGCAGAGATGGCTGAGGATTGCCCCCACTCTCCAGGAGAGGGGATGCTGGCCATCATCTGTCTAAGGACACGTCCCACTGACCCAGTCTGTGTGATAGGAGTTAAAGGGAGGCTCCCACCTGTCATCCTAGCTACTCAGGAGGCTGAGGTCTGAGGATGTGGTTCAAAGCCAGTGTGGGCAGAAAAGCCTGTGAGACTCTTATCTCCAATTAAACAGAAAAAAAAAAGTTGGACAGTGCTCAGGTTCTAAGTTCAAACCACAGTACTGGGAGAGAAAGAGAGAGGGGGGAGAGAGAGAGAGAGAGAGAGAGAGAGAGAGAGAG